CTCCTCCTCCTCCTTCTCCCTCCTCCTCCTCCTCCTCCTCCTCCGCCTCTCCCCCCCTGCCACGCCCCCCCAAACAGGGACAGGACAGGGACAGGACCTACGATCCATGCAGGGACAGGACCTACGATGAGGCTGGGCATGTCCCCCTACAGGCGGATGTTGGACGAATATTTCTTTCATATTCAAAAATAATCGAGAAATTCTAGCTAACTCGTCCCCGGACTTGACCAAGTCTCGCCTCCCCAGGCTCGGCGCGCAAAAACTGTCCCAGGGATGTCGCCCTCACAGGCCCTCCAGACCCAGAAAACCCAAGGCTCTTGGGTCTTTTCACTCCGGGGGCGTCCAAAAAAGGGGGGCGACCAAGAGGGGGCTTGCAGCTCATGGCCCGGGGGATGCGCGCGGGCGAGGGGGGGCCAGGGGGCGCACAGTCGAGTCGCAGAACGAGGATGCGAGTTTGGTACGCAAGGGCCTTGGAGGGCCACGTCGGCGTGTTCGAGCGGGGCTGACCAGCGAATGTCGCCACGCATAGGGGCCGAAGGGGAAGGCTGCACGGAGGGCCTCGAAAAGTTGACCAGCGCTACTGTGCGACATGACTGCACTGAAAGAAGAAGAGGAGGGGCCATGAGATCTGGAGATATCGTGGCCCCAGCAATGATATCCGCCCCCATAGTCATCCCCTCCCCCCTTGGACGTCCCCGATCCATGCGGGGCCCCCAGGCCCTGGATAACGATGAACCGAGAAAGGGCCCCTAACACTTTGGGAGGGGACCTAAGTTAGGAAGGCCCAAGTGCTAGGGATAGGGGGTCTTGCTCTGCAGATGCACCGAACCACACCGCCCAGAGTCATCATCCCTAATACCAAGACGTGGACCTAAGTGAGGCCACGTCTTCATCGTGTTGTTAGGGCTGAGGGGTCTCTTTTGTGCTCGATGAGGTAGTTTGGGCGCCCGAATTATCCGGGGTAACTCGGGTCTGGGGTAACTCGGGTTTGGATTCCCGAAACACGAACCCGAGTTAGCCCTGACCCGAGTTACCCCTGATGATGTGGGGCTCTGAGTACTTCTCTGACGGTCGTAGGTGTATAAACTTTCCAGCCGCCCAGGGGCAGGTGTCCCCGACGGCGAAAAAGTTTATCTTATACCGTTCTTCGCTCGCTGATAATTCTCTGACGGCCCCGCGGCCCGGCGAGGGCCTCCAAGAGGCCCCCAAGATGCCCCCAAGAGGCCCCCAAGAGGCCCCAAGAGGCTCCTCCGAGGCACCCAAGACGCTGCTGGAAGCCCCTGGGGCCGCCAAGAGGCCCCCAAGACGCCCCAAACGGCCTCCAAGAGGCTCCCAAGAGGCCCGAAGAGGCTCCCCCAAGGCACCCAAGACGCTCCTAGAAGCCCCTGGGGCCGCCAAGAGGCCCCCAAGACGCCCCAAAAGGCCTCCAAGAGGCTCCCAAAAGACATCCCAAGAGACTCCGCGATGCATCCAAGAGGCCTCTGGCCCTTCTGCTCGTCCTCCCCTCCTCGTCCGCCTCCCCCTCTTCCTCCTCCCTCCTCTCCTCCCCCACCTCCTCCTCCGATTCCTCCTCCATCCTCCCCTCTTGGGATATGGCGGCATCCCCTGTCCTTCGTCTCTCTGTACGCTCCCACACTTCCCTGATCGAATCAACGCAACTCCTCTGGGCATCATTGCTGAAAAGATGACCAACAGATCCCGACAGTCGGTACTCTTTCCTAAAGTGGCTGCTTTAGGATGGGCGAAGGATTGCAAAAAACCGAAGGATTGCAAAAAAAACAAGGATTGCAAAAAACCGAAGGATTGCAAAATACCCGGCCCCGCGGCCCCGCGGCCCGGCGAGGGCCGCCGGAGGCAGCAGGCGACGACACGCCCCCGTCTGCCTGTCCCCACGGCGGTGGCGTCCTGGGTCGCAGGGCGCCGTGGGAGCCGCCGTGGGCCGCCGCCGACGCTGCCGGCCGCCGCGTCTCGCGCGGGTGGTCGACTTTTTTGTTTGTTTTCCACCCGCCGAGCGTTACGACGGATTTCGTTTTTTGAGAGGGCGACGAGGCGTAGGATTCGAACATTTAGATGCTCGTAGATCTCGAACATCTAGGTGCTCGTGCATTTCGAGCACATCGTAGGACTTGTCCAGGGTGCTTGCAGATTCAGGAGCAGTCCAAGCACGACTCGACGCGACAATCGATCTTGGGGTAAAGCAACTCCGTCTTCGATCCCCTCCCCGATCGTTTCGGGGGAACGTACGTCTCGGGCACGGGGGACTCGGGTTGGCCTTACGGGGCCATCCTAAAAATGACGAAGCCCGTTCTGAAATCTGACGCGAGCTCCCGCTGCAAAAACCGACGAAAACTGCACGTCAGAACCCAGGACGCGCTCGTCAAAATGCGCCGACACACCCGAGTTCCAGCTCACTCTTAGGTCGGGCATGTCCCCCTGCAGGCGGATTTTGGACGACAGAACAAGAACACCAAACATATCCCAAAGTAGCCAAAAATACTCAAACATCGTCCCCAGACTATGTTTGAGCTATTCTTGAATGTTCCCCCCTGTAGAGAGACATGCCCGACTTAAGCTTAGTCTTAGGTCGGGCCTGTCCCCCTACAGGGGGGTTTTCGACGAAACATAAAAAAATGCCCCAAGAATAATCCAAAAATGGTCCCAAAATAGTCTGGGGCCTATTTTTGGAGTATCTTTTGGCCTTCTTGGGACATTTTTGGGGTATCTTTTTTTTTTTCGTCGAAAATCCCCCTGTAGGGAGACGTGCCCGACCTGAGCTCAGTCGAGCCCTACCTCTCCTCGATCGTTGGGCGCTCCCCGGGCCGACGCCGCGGACGGCAGGAGGCCCCGGGTGTCGTCGAGGTCCGCGCCGGCGCAGACGGTGCGGAGGAAGCCTGCAGGCCGGGCCCCCCCGCGGCCCCGTCCCTTCGACGTCCGCTCGCTGGCACCAAGATTAGGTCGAGCATGTCCTCCTACAGGCGGATTTGGGACGAGAGTTCAAACAAATATATATATATATATATATATATATATATGTATGTATATATATATATATATATATACAGACATATGTATATATATATATACATATATATATATATGGTTTACCCAGCAATGTCAACAAACAGTCGACAAACAGTGGAAGAATCGTCCCCAGGCTATTTCTTGACTATTTGTTGATACTCCTCCTGTAGAGGGACAGGCCCGACTCAAACGCTGGCACCAAGATATAGGGAAACAAAGCATGATGGCAGAGAAGACAAACCGAGGACACTCTCCGAGGGGGGCGAAAAACCGAGGGCACTCTGCGAGGGCGAGAACAGAGCACGGCTGACATCTTGTGTGTTGACAACTTCGGGAGCGGCCAAGAGGTGGGTGTCCAAGAGGGGGGGGTGCAAATCATGACCGGCGGCATGTGCGCGGCCCAGCGGGGGGGCCAGAGACGTCATGAAAGAAGAAGAGGCGCCATGACATCTGGGGAGATACCATGGCCCCCGCCATGATATCCACCCCCCCCCTAGTCATCACCCCCCTCTTTGCCGCCCCCGACAACTCTCGGCCTCCAGAGCCCTTGCTGGGCCCCGGGACTGTCAGCAAACGGCTCGGGATGAAGAACCGGTTCTGGGGAAGCTGTCTGGACCTCTGGGGGGCCGCGCCGTGGAACATCCACGACGCCGGATGTCTGGTTCTACCTTGACCTGAACAAGGACCGACCGTCCTGGCATTCCTATATGCCTACCAGGAAAGGCCCTTAGAACCAACCCATACTCTAAGAAGAAGAACCGTGCTCTTAGAATCTAAGCCTCTTATGTTGCAAAACAATGCAATCTCAGCCAGAGAGATTCTCAGGACATGTCGTGCAAACCACAAGAGATGATTGGAGCACTCTGTGGTGGGCCTCAAGGCGAGCCAGAACGTAAAACAGGGCTAGGATCGGGATAAATCGCTCCAGAGCGTTCCGGAGCGCTCTCAGAGCGTTCCGGAACGCTCTGGAGCGGCCGCGGCGCCCAATACATCCTCCGAACCCGCCGATTCTCAGAGATTTCGAGTTATCCCGACCCGATTTTGTCCCGATCTTCGCGTCGTTTTAGAAAGCCTCGCCGCTGCCTGCTTGTCGTCAGACAGTGTGCGGCCCTGCAGGCTCCGACCCCTGCCTACCGCCTCGGGGCAGGCGCTCCGTCCCGCACTCAGTGTCGAGGGCCCCGGGGCCCGGCCACGGGCCCGCGAGGGCCGAGACCGAGGGAAAACCGCTCCCCGACAAAAGTCGTACAGGGCAGCGCTTCATGCGTAGGATTTTTAAACATAAAACGATAAGGTTTTTGTATGCATGACGAATTCATGAACAAACTGATGCATAAACTCATCCTTGCATTGATTAAGCCACCCTGTATTTTTAAACGGCATGTGCCGTCGATCCACCCTGCATGGTCCGCACGCGGAGCATGTATTAAATACGGCACTGTGCTGTCGACCAGACGTCCGATGTCTCGATTTGTTCCATACGGAGCCCTCGGAACTCTCGACCGGATCCCGTCTCGGAAAAAATGCCTTCGGCGGCCCCGGAGCCCGGCGAGGGCCTCTGGGCGCCGAAAGCTGCGGCACACTGCCGTCTTGGACCTCTGACTCGTGGCGCTGCGGTGCAAAAGAGTCCAGCAGAAGCGAAACACACACACAGCAGAGGAGACCCACAGGGGACACGGGGAGCCCGAGCCCGCCACCCTGGCTTGGTGTGGCCAGGCAGCAGTTGCGCCTGAGACTTCCTCGCATCTGCTTCGGGCGCCGTGCTTTCGCCTCAGCTCCAGCCACAGCTCTGGTCCAGACGGCCACGACCCTTTTGCAAGAACACTGCGGTGCACATGGCCGTGCTCTCACCCGTCCCCGCTGCATCCTTCCCGGGAATCCAGAGGCAGTCCCAAGAACGCACGCTTGCAATCACCGACCTCCTACTCCTCGACCCGCCTCTCCACCGTTGCTGCTACCATGGTGATTTGCGGGGGATTTTTTTCAATACGTTCAAGGTCTTGAGAAGATCCGAGCACTGCAGCGCGCCAGCCGCCAGCACGGCGGGGCGCCAATAGAGCGACACTGGGGGCGCCCGCCTTTGGGCTCCCCTTCGGGCCTGCCCCACAGAGCCCCCCCTCCCGCTGTGCGTCCAGTGCCCAGCTGCTCGTCGGCAGCGAACTCCGAGGCTGCTTCTCGAGCCCTGCGACGCCGTCGCCTGCCTAGCAGTCCCGCGAGCGTGCTCTGGTTCTGTCAAAAGCTTCTCTATAAATGCTCGATCGCACTTTTTTAGGCCCAGTATGTGGACTGCCTGATGTGGAATCGGTCAGGACTCGTGGCCCCCCGTGGCCTAACGTGCCCCCCCGATGCCCAGAGAGGTCAAAGGAGCATTAGCGCGAGCATTCGGAATAGTATGAGTGTCAGTGATGATGTCAGTACAGTATCAGAAGGCGTAGCAGTTTGGGCAT